GAGGAAGTTTTGGAATATTCTAGGGAGACTTCACAGAGCCATTTGTCTGCTCTCTTATTCCCTGGCCTGTCTTTACAAGATGCAGAGTTAATACTTTGCTAGCAGCTGCTTCTTAGAGTACTCTGGGTACCCTTTGTCCAAGAGTTTGTCTTGGACACTTCTCAGGTGTCCATGTAACCCTCTGATGAAGGCACTGCATTCCTGGGGATTGTTCCTTTCCTCAAGGAGCACAGAGTTGTTCAATCATTTACAATATCTGACTGTGGTGCTCTGTGAGGGTGATATGTCTATGTAGGACAATACTTTAAAGGAAAGTTTTGTTTCATAGCCATCACCCTTGTCTTCTTCTGAAATATTTTTAATTAAAAAAAATTTCTACTGTGTGTCTAGACGTGTTTGGTGTATGCACACCACATGTATGTGCATGTGTGTGTGTGCATACATATTTGTGTATACATGTGTAGAGACCAGAGGAAGGCATCAAGTATCCCCCTCTACCACTCTCAACCTTATTCCTTTGGGACAGGGTCTCTCAATGAACCTAGAGCTCACGATTGGTTAGGTTGGCCACCAGCAAGCCGCAGTGATCCTCCTGTCTCCACCTCTTTTAGTGCTAGGGTTACAGGTGTGAAAAAGACCATGGCCAGCTTTTTATGTGGGTGCTAGGATCTCAACTCCAGTCCTCATGCTTGCATAGCAAGTGCTCTTAACTGCTGAGCTACGTCTCCAGTCCATGAAGTGTTTTACTGATCTCAAGGAGGACTACAGTAAGAAGATGAGGTGGAAGGCTCACAGATATATCCTGATGCCTAATACACAGCAGGCACTTGGAAAACAGGTGTTAAATAAGATTAGATTGACTGTTCTTTGTGGATTAAGTATGGGATATTTTACTATAGGTAGTATCTGTTAGTTTAACTAACCCCACAGACACCTACCGGGTGGGGAGTGGAGCCTCCACTGTCCAGATTAAGTTATTTCCACACCATCACATTATGAACTATTACACTGGGAAGTAACTGACCTACTGGGAAGTTCTTCAGAACCTCTGACCCCTGAGCCAAGCTGAAATCTAGAGACATGGCAGCACAGGCTTCAGAGTTCCCTAGGGCTGAGCTGACCCGAACCCAAAGCTAACCTGCATTTGAGGGCATTATCAGAAGCTGGACGCAAATGGGCAAGAGACCTCTATTAAGCAGCTCTGGAGAACTGCCAATTTCCTAGTTTCTGAAGTTCAAATGCCAGAAAAGTTCAGAGGTTTGAGGTAAAAGGAAAGTACCAACTCCATAAAGTTGTGCTCTGCCTTCCCCACATGCACTGTGGTATGGAAGTGTGCACACACACACACAAAATAATAATACTTTTTTCTTGAGACAGGGTTTCACTGTAGCCCCAGGTGCCCTGGAACTTGCAATGTAGACCAGGCTGGTCTTAATTTCAAATATCTACCTGCCTCTGCCTCAGAGTGCTGAAATTAAAGGCAGCACCACCACACCTCCTAATAATTGATATATATATATATATATTTTTTTTTTAATTCTTAGTTTCCTTTCCACTTTGATAGCACAATCTCTTTTTTAAAAAAATTACCATTTTTATTTTTTGTGTATGAGTGTATTGTCTGCATGTCTGAAAGTGCATCCATGTCACAGAGGTCAGAAGTGGGTGTTAGATCCCCTAGAACTGCAGTTACAGATAGTTATTAGCTGCCATGCAGGTGCTGGGAATCGAATCTGGGTACTCTGCAAGAGCAGCCAGTGCTCTTAACCACTGAGCCATCTCTCCAGCCCCTGATATCACAATCTTAAAAGATAACTACTTCTCTGTAAGAGATGAGACGGTTTAGGTTTACTGACTGGGGTCAAACACCTGTTTCTGAGGGGCAGGATAATGAATACAGATTTGGGGAAACAATTTCTAATCCCTGAATGCTTACCCTCTCCCCAGACATGGGAATAAGCAGATGTCACTAGGAATTCTCTAATTCTAAACACACTCTGAAAAATGAAAGGTGCTTCTGTGCTGGTAGCTTGCTAAATGAAAACTGATGTCCTTTGCTATGCTACTTGTTAACCATCTTCATCTTGCCTTTCTCTATGCTTTCAAACTTCAAAATTACATGTGTGGAATGCAACACCCAAGTGGGTACTATGAATGCTTCAAGGTTACCAGGTAGAAAAATGAACAGTGTTCTTCACTTATCCCTGAACTTTAACTTTTATTCAACAGCTTTAATGAGGAACTTACTTAAAGCTATCAGAGAGAACTGTAAGCATAACAGGTGGTGTTAAACTCTCGTTTGGGGCAGTGACAGACTCTGTCCCTTGATTCTTTTTTGGCCCTTCCTCCAGAAACTGTCTTCTATACCCATAAATAGGTCACCTAAGAGCTTTTTTCTGATTCTCAAATTATAATACTATATGGAATTTAATATCCCTTTGGCCCTCTTGTAATCGTACCCAGTCCCAAATAACCTAAAGTCCCTGTGACTCATCTCTGTATCTTAAGTGTGCTGGATAGCTTTAGTGTCAACTTGACACATCTGAGTTGAGGGAGCCTCTATTGGGGAATTACCTCCATTGGACTGGCCATTGGACATGTCTGTGGAGCATTTTCTTGATTGTTGAGTGATGTGGGAGGGCCCAGCCCACTGTGAGTGGTGCCACCCCTGGGCAGGTTGTTTTGAATTGTATAAGTAAGCAGGCTGAGCATGGGCCAGGGGAGCAAGTCAGTAAGCAGCGTTCCTCCATGGCCTGTGCTTCAGCTCCTCCTGCCTCCAGGTTTCTGCCCTGAGTTCCTACCTTGGGCTCTCTGATGAACTGTGACCTGAGAGATGTAAGCCAAGTTGGTACTGGTCAGAGTGTTTTGTAACAGTAATGAAGAACCAAAACACGTAAGCATCTAGAAAGTACATCTATGCACAGGTAAAGCATTTATTTTCACACAACATTGATTTCTTATTGTTGTATATAAAATCTGACATCTCAGGTCCCCTGTGGTAAAGAGAAAGCATGGACAAGCATGTTTTCAGGGTGGTAAGGCTGCAGCTTCCATATCATGCCTAGTTACCCATGATCCTCTCATGGGTCACTAAACTTAAACACACTTCGTGCAAAAATGAAACAGCTACTTACTGTGCTTCTTCAGAAGACTCTTGTTTTATTTTTAATGTTCTCTTTGAAACAGGCATTTCATCTGAAAAACAAAGATTTTCAAAACAGATTATATTTTCCTAAGTGGTAGCATACATTTATATGACTAAGGAGCTAAATTTACTGCCCGTTCTATACTTTCTAATATCAGACCTTAATTCTCATGTCCAACACTGTATAATACCAGATTTATAAATGTAACATACAATGAGATGCAACCATTTATATGCAAGATCAGAACAGGCTCTACAAGTATGAAATTCTTCAAGGTCACCAGTGGATTTCTAGCTAGGAGCTTAAAGCTTAATTTCACTGCAAACATAATTTTAAAAGAAGAATGAAAATAATTCTGTTCTATTTTGCTTTTCCATGTAGGTTTTACAGAGCAATTATGCCTTCAAATATGAGGAAAAGCATATCCTGCATTTTTTGCGCTAAAGGTACGGTGGCTTAACTCTTTATGGCAAAACAGGGTTAGATCTTATTGTTCTTGTGAAATAAAATGAAAGATCATTTAGCATCTGTTCTTATTCTTTTAATCTTTATTTTCTAACATATTGCTGATTTTATTGGGGGGGGGCAGGGCTTTGAGATAGGGTCTCACAATTGAACTGTAGCCTGGCCTAGAATTCACTACGTAAACCAGGCTGGCCTCGGACTCACAGAGACCTGCCTGCTTCTGCCTCCTGAGTGCTGATTAAAGGCGTGCACCACCATAACTGGCCAATCACTGATAGTTTTAGCAATTTCATGGCCTTTCTTTTTTCCCTTCCAATATTTGAGAAACTGTTTAAAAATGACATTTATAGGAAATATTCTAGCAGTTAATCCTTTTTATTTCTCTGTCATCAGGCAGGATTTCTGTACTTCTTACCTTAAGCAAGGAAAATAAATTCATACTTTGGGGTTGCCTGAGTACCTCACTTGGGGAAAGAACATAACCGAATAATCATTACACAGCTCATACCTTGCTGCTGATGTGCATAACGACTGTAACAGAAACCTCATCAGTACTTCCCAAATCAGGAAGTCAAAATTAGAATACTTAACATTAAAAGACACAGGCAAACAAAAACCACATGTACACTCTTAATCAGGTCACACAAATTTAGTATTTGATGGTCAGGAATGTCAGTGTCCATTCTGAAGGCTTTTGCTGTATATACATCATTTAGCTACCCTGTTGGGATGAGGCCCTTAGTTAAGTCTGAAGAACAAGACCACTAACACTGTCCACATGTCAGCTCTTCTCAGCACATACTAGGCCTTCTTCTCATATCTTATCTAGACTAAAGTCTGGGTAGGAGCCTTTCCCAAATCACAACCAAAAGACAAAGCATTTGGGATGAAAGGAAAAGACAAACTTATTTATAGCAGTTTGGCCAAGAGTCAAAATTCTTGGCAGGAATCTTAATGCTACCAGGAACAGGGCATTTTGAGTTATCTAAGATTCTACCTGTCACCGAACTTCCTCATGAAGCTCAGAATAAGGAATTCTGTCTTTAGGAAACTTAGTAGTGTAGTACCCAAATCACCAAGTGACCAACACCAAGCAGTACTTGGCAGTTTGATGTAAACCAAGGATGCTCATCATGTTGGCTGAAATAGTTCAACAACATGCCTCGTCCTGACAGGGGAACAGAACTAGAAGTCATCACTTGGTAAATACCAGTACACATTCCAGGTGGACAAACACATACATACACGTATCATATACATTGGCTTTCTTACCCAATTCCTGATCTGTTGGGTAGCCATGGAGATCCTGACTGTGGTTTCCCCAGTCCTCCTGTGAATAGTCCTCCATAGTGCTGCCATCTGACTCCAGCTCCTGGTACAAGCCACTACTGTTAATAAGTACAGGCTGGCAGGGCTGAGCATCCCATCCTCCCTGACCAAACACCTGTTCCAACTGTTCAAATGTGTAACTGCTCTTTCTTTTCCCAACACCATGTTCTTTCACCCGACTGTAACACCTGCGAAGGGTCTAAGACACAAAGTCTTTTGTTATTCCTTTAAAGCTGTACTTCCTCTTCCAGATACGGACCACAGATATTAATTACTATTAGACAGACACAGACAGACAAACACAGACACATTGTTACAGGAATGCTAGATTTCAAATTCATTATTATATTAGAAAAATACTAATTTAACATTTACTCAAACATGTTACCATTCAATTATTTTGCAATTAATTATCAATTAAACAACAAGAAACATTACAACATTATTGCATGTACTCCATACACATATTTTAAGCCCCCCTCCCCCATTTAAAAAGGATAAGGGGAGGAAAAAAAGAATACCAGCCAGCCAATAGGATGCACACCTGCCACAGAAGAGAGAGAGAGCTGCTATGGTGCCCAGAATTTGGAAAACGTGAGGGAAGAAGGACAGAAAGAAGAATTTCCCAAAGTAAAGAATACCCTCCTTCCTATTTGTTAAGAAGGAATACAGGGGAAAAATAATTGCCTTGACAAACTAGCTAACAAAAGCTATCACTTACATAGTCTATATTCCTTGCTAACTCACTCTGCCATGGTAAAAACCACCAAAATTTAAAGCAGAAGTCAAATTAATAACACCACAAATCCCAAGCCTTAGACACTAATTACCAAGAAGCAGTACACTAATACCTACATTTGACTAATCAACCAACTCCAACTGCCAGTTTCACAAACAAAGTCAACAGTCTCCTTCCTGGGGGAGGGGGAAGGAGGCATTTCACTTCTTTTTCTGTCACTTGGCACACAGCAAATAAACAGCACTACGCAAGCCCAGACAAATCCTGTATAACATCATTGCCTTGTCCAGTTCTTTTATCCCCCTATGGCCTTTATTTCCACTACATGTTTCAAACTAGCCCAGTTCCTTGAACGTAATGATACACCTCACACTATCTTACATGGCATTTCAAAAGATAAATCAAGGACTTAAGTCTCAGTTTACAAATCTGGTCACATTCCAGTTCTGCTTCATCTGTCTCCCTCCATTTCTTCTCATTTCCTGTCTGTCTCACTGGGGCTCACCAGAGTTTTCTTGAGAGGCAAGATCCCTTTTCCTTGGTGGCTCCTAAATATTTTCTAACTCAACTCTTAAAAGTAGTTCACCTGATTTAATTTATGAGCATTATCAAAAACTATTAATTTCTCCTAAAGGAGAAATTACTTTCCATATGTTTTGTTCTAATCAAACTAAAACAATTCTTGGCAATGTTCATGGCCTCTCCATGAAAGTACAGAATCTTGAAGTCACAGCTGACAATCTACATGCTATTCCCTTAAAGACTCTTTGAAAAATCTGTCCCTGAAGGCCAGAAATCCAGAGAGGCAAAATAAAGGCATGAGACATGTGATGTCTCCTTCAGACAGTCACCAGCCCCGCAGCCAGCCTACTCCTGTGCAAGAACCTGCCCCATTCTCTCTTTCATGACATCTCTTCTACTGCCTCAAATGATGCTGTCTCAAATGAGACTGCCAATGAACTCTTTCAAAAATCATTTTCTCTTTTTATAAAGGAGAATCATGATTTCACAGGACAAAACTTTCTAGAACCAGAAACCTGAACTTGGAAAATTGTGTAATGGCCAATATTCCAATGAAGAGAGACAGATGCTGCTGCAGATCATTTGACTTTCCATGTAGTCCCCTTTCCCAGCACCCTCTGCCCTCCTCAGAGAGACAGGAATTTGAACTGCAAACAGCCCCTGACAATTTATTTTTATCTTACAATGTCTAGTTTCTGCCTCCAACTACACCCCAACTGACTCCTCCAAGGACTGTAAATAGAGAGTCCCAACTCTGTCCCTTTCCCCCTTCCAAGACCATAAATGGAGATGGAAACTGTGCCTACCCTGCTCACTACTTACTGGCTGCCTACAGAATGATGTTCAGCACACAAGAGTCCAGTCAGCTCTGTCGCTCAGGGTCACTTCAAAATCCAAGCAATAAAACTAAATGTTCCTTTCAAGAAGGGTGCCATGATTACTAGAAGTGGCAGGCATAAGCATATCCACCAATTTTTTCTTATATCTGTAAACATTTATTGTCATGTTCTAAAATAAATTCACCAAATTTGGGAAATATACATGGTAAAAAAAACACAGAAAGAGTCTTACTTTTTTTGAAGCCACCAAACTGAGCTTCTGATTTCCTTTGGCTTATATAACTGTGAATAATGAAATTAGCAATCTCTAATAATTATAGATACAGAAAGGTAAGGTGATGTTTTATATTTCACCAAAAATGGCTAACAGATCTTTCCACATCTCCTTGTAGTGTACACCTGTAACACACTTATAGTACATTACAGTGGAATCTACCAGGTGCCTGAAGAAAGGTTTTGTAACTTCTAAATCCATGACAGTAATCCTATGCACTGAAATAACATTAAAAAGGTTTCCAAATCAATTTTCTCAAGATATAAATACATGTACACAGTAACCTTTAAGTTCAATAAAAGTACTACAAGTTCTCTGAGGCTATTTAAACAGGATATATCCACTAAGATGAGGGAACAACTCAAACATCAACTTAACTGCTCAACCCTAAGAACCACTAGGATTCAGTTAAACTTGAGAGCTTAGGCATAGATAAAAAGGGACATTTGGAAACTTTCCAATTCTTACCACCCACAAAAAAAGCAGAAAAGAATATACACAACCCATTACATTCTAAATGATTAATCAAAGCATATTATTTAAAAAACTGGGCATCTGTGTCAACAATCCTAAATAAACCAACTTAAAAGTCCACTCTAAATCAGGCATTAATTATAATGCTTCAGGGTCCAGGAAAACTGAGGTTTCATTTCCCATTCAAGACAGCTACCAAATCCAGCAAGACTCTGCATTTGGTTTTCTGGATGAACCATATCCTATTCCATGTTCAAAAACCTTACTTAACTTCCTTCTTCCTTCCCCTCACTCTTCTCAGTTTACAGCAATTTAATCTCTAATTGGACACATTTGTTTAAAAATGATTAAAGACTATTCTATTAAAAAATAAAAAGTTAACTTTCCTTACTGTGAAACATTTTTCTGGTAGGTTGATGGTATATTTCCATCTCCTCCTCAGAGGAGGCGCTGTGGGATACTATCCACCCCATAGAGGTCAGGAGTCAAGGAGAGCTGGACAGAAGAACTAAAGCAAGTAACAACTTCAGGGGGCCAAACCAGAGTTGTTCCTGGGTATGATTCAGAAACGCTTACTAAATCCACCACCCCAAGTGCTTGTGTTTCATTACTACAAAAGGAAAAGAACCAGAGAAAAGGTCTGAAGGATGCTCCATTACCAAAGCAAGGAGGAAAAAAGATGGCTGACAAGTGACAATTTATAGGACAGAGTGAAAGTCTTGCCAGAGTTTAAGATTAGAGTAAAAGGAAATCAGAGAATAACAAGATGACATTCATTGTGGATGAATGTATGGGGAGTCTACGGGGGAGGGGCAGGTAAACAAAGGCAGGAGGTTTAGATTGCAGGATTGGGGTTGGACGGCAGCAATGCAGAGAAAGACCCAGGGTTACAGTACACGTAACATTAAATACAGTGCACAATGCAGCTATCTTGCCAAAGTAAGTAAATCCAGTATTGGGTTGTATAAGCAGAGGAATCACATGTAAGCTATGAAGGTGGCTCTTCCTCTCTATTCAGCACCGGTGAGGCCACAGCTGGAGCACAGCATTCAGTTCTGGGCATCGAACCAGCTACAAGAGAGGGAAATTGTAGAGTTCAGAAAAGGGCAAATAAAATAATGAAAGGCTTGGAAAATAAGATCTATAAGCAAGGTCAGTGGTTTCATCAAAGCTCTTCCTGACATTTTTAAGCTATTTGGGGGGTGAAATTGAGGTTTTTCACTTCAGTGTCCTCTAATCTCTGTTTTAGCATTTAGAAGTGGGGAGAACCATGGTATGGGAATGTAGGCTGCAAACTAGATGATGCATCAACCAGTTCTACTACTGGCTCCATCATTTTCTCAAAATTTTCCCACTTCATAAAATAAAATGTAATCATTATGACGAAACCACTATTCTAACAGAACTGACAGTAAGGGAAACAGAACATACAATGAGGAGGAATAGAAAAGTCATAACAGCTATATAACTGTGTTGTTTAGAAAACACCAGTTTGATCAGGCTAAGATGTCAGATAAAGAAGTCAACCGGCAGGGAGGACAGCTTAGTTATAATAGCAGGAAACAATGTTACAAGAAAAAAACAAGCATGACACAGATTTTCAAATGTAGCTGTCAAACTGGCCACACCAGACATGCACTGCAGTTACCTTGACCTGTGTGAACTGAACGTGACAAACCTGCAATTTCCCTCACCCAAATGATTAACTTAAGTAAGTCAAGTCCTAAAATCATGTATTATACTGCACATGAGATGGGGAAATTACACAGGGGGTAAATCTCCAGTGACTGATTTTCTTACAGAAGTGTTAAAATACTACTTCAAGCTGGATGTGGTAATTCACATCTATAATCCTAGAACTCAGGAGGCAAAGGCAGGAAGATTGCTGTAGGTTCAAGGTCAGCATGGTATACAGAGTGAGAACTTGTCTCCAGAACACAAACAAAACACCCACCAACCAAATGCCTTTGACTAAAGTACACAAGTAATCTTTATGAAACAGACCTTCCTTTAAACTGTTATATTACTAGTGGCTCTTAATTGAGGCAACAAATTACTAAATTATTACATCTTAAGAAAGACTCAAAAGGTGTGAGGACATAGCTCAGGGGCAGCGTGCTCATCTAGCATGTGCAGGGCTCTGGGTGCGATTCCAAGCCACACACACACACACACACACACACACACACACACACACACACTGAGATGTAGCTCAGTCAGCACAGTGCTTGCCTAGCATGCATGAAGCCTTGGATTTGATCCCTAGCACCACACAAACCTCCTTGTATGGTAGTACAGGCCTAATCCTAACATTCAGGAGGTGGAGGGAGGACCAGATACCCTGTCTCAAGAGAAAAAAACAAAAAGATTCAAAAGCTTATTCTCTAATCAGCTATATTTTGTTACTGTTAACATAGAAGTAGTGAAGAAAAATTTTAAACAGCAAGCATAAAGTCCACAAACATACTTCCTAACAATAAGGGGCATGTTAAAAATATAGCCTAAATTCCTACTCCAATCTTTTGACACACAACTGTGACTTATGACTAGAAAGTATCTTAGACAAAACTATTTGGCAAGCAGAAATCTTAGTATGTATTTTGATAGGTTTTCTGTACATTAACATATGGCAAACTGCCTTGCTGATTAACCAAATCCTTTAAAACACCAAAAGAATAAAACAAAAGAAAACCAAAACGAAAGCTGCAGCAAATCTGTTTCATGCTCCTCCAGTTCTCAGTGCTATAGCAAGCTGTGGCAAGTAAAAAAAGTTTTAATGGTTAAATCTTTTGTTTTGCTTTTTCCTATCCGAGGAAGATTCTTAACTTTTGGGGTCTTGGATTACCTCCACCAAATCCTTTAAAACACCAAAAGAATAAAACAAAAGAAAACCAAAACGAAAGCTGCAGCAAATCTGTTTCATGCTCCTCCAGTTCTCAGTGCTATAGCAAGCTGTGGCAAGTAAAAAAAGTTTTAATGGTTAAATCTTTTGTTTTGCTTTTTCCTATCCGAGGAAGATTCTTAACTTTTGGGGTCTTGGATTACCTCCCAAGAAAAACACACACACACACACACACACACACACACACACACACACACACACACATACACACACAAACTGTTCCACGTAATTTCCTGGGTGAGTTCATGTAAGTCTTCATTTTAAAACCTCTGTTCTGGGGCTGGAGAGATGGCTCAGTGGTTAAGAGCACTGAATGCTCTTGCAGAGGACCTGGGTTTGATTCCCAGCACCCACAAGGTGGCCTCGAACAGTCCTTAACTCCAGTTCCAGGGGAATCTGATGCCCTCTTCTGACCTCTGCAGTATTGCACAAGCACTGCACAATACCGGTGCACTCACATATATGCAGGCAATACATTCATACACAAAATAAAAATAAATATTTTAAAAAGGGGCTGGAGAGATGGCTCAGTGGTTAAGAACACTGACTGTTCTTGCATAAGACCCAGGTTCGAATCCCAGCACCCACATGGCAGCTAACAACTGCCTGGAACTCCAGTTCCAGGGGATCCGACAGCCTCTTCTGTCCTCCACGGGCATTGCACAACACGAGTGCACTTACCTACATGCAGACATAACACTCATACATATAAAATAAAAATTATATTCAAAACAAAACAAAACAAAAAAACCTCTGTTCTGTGTCAAGCATACTGGCGCATGCCTTTAATCCCAGAGGCAGGTGAATCTCTGGGAGATCAAGGCCAGCCTGGTCTACATAGGGGAGCTCCAGGCCTGCTAGGGCTACAGGAGGACCCTGTCTCAAAAACTTGAAACAAAACCAAAAACCAAAACTCCATGTTTTCTTCCATAAAACATAAAATGTGTTAGTCAGAAACTAAGATAAGGTAATTTTAATTTGTATGATCAATTTCACAAGAGATTCTAAAGATTGGTATACTTAGGGCAAGTGAGATGATTCATTGACTAAAAAGCACTTACCACCAAATATGATGAGCTGAGTTTAATTCCCAGGGCCCACATGTTAGAAGGAGAGATATGGTTCCCTTAAGTTGTCCTCTAACCTCCAAATGCATACTGTGGTGTGCATGCCCCTTAGTGTATGTGCACACATGAACTATATATAAAACAATGACTGGCATAATCAGTGTAATTCATCAGCTGGCTCAGCATCTTGCTCATTTAGATAAAGCATAACAATGTCCTTATAAAGTGTTTTTGCTCCTGTGTGTTCCCCCCTCCCCTCCTCAGTCCCTTCTCTCTCTCCCTCCCTCCTTCCTGTCCCTCTGCAACAAGGTCTCACACTGTGTTGCCCAGACTAAACCTAAAGCCAAGAGATCCCCCTTTACCTCAACTCATAAGCTGGATCCACAGACATGATCCACAGTACCCAGCTTTCTTGTTTCTTCAAGGACATTTCTATCAGTAAAAGAGTACAAGTATGGCAAATGTGGTGATGCACACCTGTAATCCCAACACTAGAGAAGTGGAGGCAGAAAGATGGACGGTACTGGGCCCTCTTGGACTATATAGCTAGACCCTGCCTGGAAAAAAGCAAAGAGTGTACAAGGATCTCATTTTACTTTTCAAAAGAATATAGCATTTTTCCCTTGTATTAAGCAAGAATTCTTTCTCTGAATTGGCAATAAGCAATATTTAAAAATTCATTATTGGAAATACAAGGCCAGTCTGGGCTATAAGAGAGACCTTGTGTGTTCCCCAGGGGCCCTGGTTCCTCCAACTGTGGAGAGTTAGCCGCGGAAGGAGGGGCTTGTGGTGCCACCTTGGGATGGAAGCCATGCAGCAGCGGACATGGGGACTGTGCAGCAGCCAGGCATACTCAAGAACAGGCTGGCCCCTGAGGCATGGGCGAAAGCTCGCGGTGACTGTGGGCATGCCGCAGGAGCGATCTGGTATGGTGGGCTCTGAGCCCGGCCAGGCGTGGAGCTAGGCACTGGGGTTCGTGTCTTTGTAAGTCGTCACCCCCCCATAATAATAAATGTACACAAAAATATGTTATATGGTTTGCCTGACAGTGCAAGAGACCCAGAAAGAACTGTGGAGACACCTTGTCTCAAAAAAAAAAAAAAAAACTTTAGCAAAAAGTGGAGGGAAGCACGGAAATGCTAGGCAAATGCTATATGTGCTTGGCTGGGAAATCCCACCCCCACCCGCCACCCCCCGCCCCGCCTCTGCATGCTAGGGAAGCACTGTATCACTGAGACCAACACAGCCAGGAATGTTACAGAGTATGTGATATCCATACGGAATGGTATTCCAAAAAACACACTCATTCTTCTGCATATAAGATTCTCTTAATATGTCTCCAATATGTTTTCTGTTTAAAACCAAGGCTGTAAGGGCTCTATTCTCTACTAAAGAGATTAAGAAATGTAACCTGGGTTGGGGTTTCAATCTTAGATTTGAATATTGATTTGGTTACTTACCCACCAGGCCAACTACTTGCTCCACAAAGCATTTTTTGAAAGAAGAGCCACTAGCACACCACAGTTGGCTGGTATGTTTGCAAGGGTGATTGCCAAATGTTCAAGATTTTATGAGCTAAATACATCATTATTAAAAATCAAATTTTATAACTTTGTAATTAAATATTAAAAAATTCATTCTTGGGCTGGAAGGGCAGCTCAGCAGTTAAGAGTATTGTCTGCTCTCACAGAGGACCCAGATTCAGTTCCTAGCACCCACATGGTGGATAATCACCATTTGTAACTCCAGTTCCAGGGGACTCGACACCCTCTTCTGTTTTCCAAGGGCATTGCAAGCACAAGTGCACTTTTATATATGCAGGCAAAACACTCATACATATATGATAAAATAAATTAGTCCTTTATGCTGTTTATCTGTTCCAACTGTATCGCACAGTACTTGATGATTGTCTGGCTGACTTAGCAATACTGATACCAGATACGTTACCTAGAGTAACAACTTAAATCACAGAAACTAATTGTCCAGAAACAAGTGTAGGGTAGTCTTTTTCTTTTTTTTCTAGGTGTTTTTTTTCTTTTGTGAGAATTTCACACATGAGCATGGTCCCTGCATTATTTCCATCCCTCCCAGGCCCCCACTAA